CCGATGACAGTTGGGCTGTTCTGCCCAGCCGCGCACGACGCCGAGGGCCGGCGAGCAACGGTCCGTCCCCCTCGCGCCTGGCTGGCGGGCGGGCCGGGGGGGGGGGGACGGGCTGGCGGGCGGGCGGGGGGGGGGGTGTTACTCCTCGCGGGTGTGTGGAGGAGCACATGAGTGGTCTGCGCGCGCCCCGGTCCCTCCTTCCGCCGCCTCCTCTCCCCCTGCCTCGCCCGGGCCCGGCCGGCGCTCCCTCACGCGCCCCCCCCCCACACGCGCACTCACTGCGGAGGTTGTGGATGAGCTCGGAGTGACTGGCGCCTCCTGACTTCCAGGCCATCGCTAGACAGACTCTGCGGAGCAGGTAGAGAGCCGCCTTCAGCGCCGCGACTGCGCACAGTAGTTTCCCCAGGAAGGACACAACCTCCAGCGCCGACACAGGCGCCGCCTCCTCCTCCCCCCCTCCCGCAGCAGCTGCCGCTGCCGCCGCCGCCGCGCGTCCGCCGGAGGGAGGGACTGCTCGGCCACCCCCTGGCGCGCTCGACATTCTGAACGGCCGCCGCCGCCGCCGGGCAACCGCGGCCCGTGTGCGCAGGCGCAGTCCACGGAATAAAGGGGACAGTGCTGAGGCGGCGGCGGCGGCGGCGGGGAGATGATCACTCCTTGGCGCTACGCGGAAGGGGGCTGGGAGGCCGGAGGGAGGGAAAAGCTGCCGGCTGCGGGGCCTTTAAGTAGAACCACGTGACCAGTCCCTCTGTCCGGCTATATATAACCGTCGTGACAAATGAGCGTTTTTTGGTTGGTTGGGGTTTTCTTTGCAGAAGGGCCCTTCAGGTAGAGCGGGCTATTCAGAAGAAGCTCATGCCTACAACGCCTTGGACTGTTTCTTTTAAGCGCTTGGTACCAAGCGGGTTAGCTTTCTGGCGTCGAAAAGACTAAAAGAGTTCAAATACACAAAATGTAAAATACTTTTTTTCATTATAGAGGAAACATTAACTATTCCTCCCCTCAAACTGTTTATATCTTTTACCCCCACCCCCACCCAGCTAGTGTGCTGTTATATGTCTGTTGTTGTGTGAGGTCACTTAAGCACCTACTGCTCTCTGACAGACAAAACTCTCCTCCCCATGGATGTGCTATTTTGTCCCTTTTTAAAGTTCCCCACACACTGTATGTGCTGCCTACCCACAGGAGGGAGAGAGATTTCATATTACAGTCTCCAGTCTCCACGTGGGGCCTGGAGATCTCCTGGAAGTAATATTGGGTCTCCAGTCAAAAGAGGTAAGTTCCCCTGGAGAAAACAGCTGCTTTGGAGGGTGGACTTTATGACATTATTCCTGGCTGTAGTCCCTCCCTTCCCCAAACCCCACTTTCCCCAGGAGTCCACCCCCAAATCTACAAGAATATACCAACCTGGAGCTGGCAACTGTAAAGTCTTTTTAGAAAAGATTGTTGTTGTTCAGTCGCACAGTCGAGTCCGACTCTTCGCGACCCCATGGACCAGCTCCCGCCAGGCCCTCCTGTCTTCTGCCATCCTCTGGTTGGCTCAATTTCATGTTTGTTGCATCGATGACACTGTCTAACCATCTCATCCTTTGCCGTCCCCATCTTCTTTGACCTTCAATCTTTCTTAGAAAAGATATCTGAAGAAAGTCCTTTCATGTGTCCTGCCTACAGTAGTGCCTCACTATTTGCTTAACTTTTGTCAGAGCTAGAGTGCCTAAATTCCGAATTTTTGGAAGACAGCAGAAGGCTCTCTCGCTTCCACTTGCTGGAGACAGACTATTGTATTATTGCTGCTGAACTGGCACTAGCACAAGGGTTGTACTAAATGAAAAGTGTTTTTCTTTAATTCACATTGAAAGGTCCTTGACCTTTGCTTTTTAACCAAGCCAATATAAAAATCATTGTAAACTTTTTACATAGGTCTCTGTCAAAATATGTGCCAATATTGTGATCCGCATACAATCAATACAACCTAGAAGCACCTTAAATGAATTATGACTTGAAGTTTTAACCTTTGCAAATCTGTGTATGACCAGAAAGGCCATGACAGGATGAGCTATTGTGAAAGAACTAAAAATGACCCTGGTAAGTATAAAGGGATGCACATTGGAACAGAAAATCCTAACGTCATATATATGTTGATTGGATTGGGATTGGCAGAGATTGAGAGGAAAAGCCATTTTGGGCTTGTAGCAGATAGTTTGATGGAACTGACCTTCCAGTCTGCAGTTCAGCATCTTAACCATTGAGCCACCACAGCCCCATAACAAATAGGTAGTCTGGCCCAAATCAGATTGTTCTTTGTCCACTAGAGGAAAACCATGTTGCAGTGCGGAAAAAACTGGTTCCCTTGCCATTCCTGGGAGGAGCCAGGAATTAGGCAAAGGTAATACCCAGTTTCTGTTTCTCTTCAGTTAAAGCTAAGTAGAGTGAGAGAAGGTACAGGCTGAGAGAGCTTTATAAATAAGTTATTCCAATAAAGTTGGAAGTTTGTTTTTATTAAGATAGAAACCATATACTTTGAAAGAAGAGGACTGTGTTTTATGTACCAAATGAGGCTTCAGCAACCTGAAGAAACAGGTAGTCTTGAAGAAAGCAAAAGGAATACTTTTGAATAGGTTCTTTTTAGGGCTCCCAACCTCCAGGTGGTGGCTGGAGATCTCCTGCTATTACAACTGATCTTCCAGCAACAGAGATCAGTTCGCCTGGAGAAAATGGCCACTTTGGAAGGTGGACTCTCTGGCATTATACCCCCACTGAAGTCCCTCCCCTCCCCAAACCCCACCCTCCCCAGGCTCCACCCCGAATATCTACAGGTGTTTCTTAACACAGAGCTGGCAACCATAGTTCTTTCTTCAGTCATGAGGCAGGCAAGTGGGACACAGAAAGCAAAGATATAAATGGTTCCAGGTTAACTGGGAAAAGTCTCAGCCAGGCAGGTGGACTGCTGGTGTCTGGTAGGCATGGAAATAAATTGGATAGTGGCAGAATGCTGTCATATACAAGAGGATATCTTTGGCTTATAACTTAATTGAAACTAGACAAACTAGGGGCTTTAATTTTATCTAATCTCAAGTGTGGGTGTTGCTTCTGTGTGAGGTAATAGACATGCTAATTATGTTTAGATAAATTTGGCCAAATCATAAATTAGAGGATATGCTAATAATGACAAAGAGGGACTTTAGTGACCACCAAAAAAAATCCACTGGCCCCGGTCACACGGGTCGGAAAATGCGCGGGGGGGGGGGGGAGCGTGGCTGTTTGCCCCGGAGCAAAATAACTTGCGGCTGCGCGATCAGACGTCCCCTCGAGGTCCGGTGGTTAGGGGGAGGTGCCGATCACAGAATAATCCTGCAGCGCGGCAAAGAAGCAGCCTCTCTAGCAAAAGGCTCCGCAGGTTTAACCCCTTCCAGGGCTGCAGAGGAATGCAAACTGTGTCCTCCGTCAGGTCCCCTCCAGGAGGAGCTTCAGCCAGCCGCCCTCCCGCCACGCCCCCCCTGCACCTCCCCCTCTGTCGCCCGGTGCAGAGAGTTCCTCTCGAGCAGGCCAAGCCAGGAGTGGGTACGGAAAAGAGGAGGGGGCTGTGTTGTTTGTTTTTAAACGAAGTGTGCGCATGCGCTGTTGGGTGCTTGTGCGCATCCCATGGAGACTTTAAAAAAAACCCTTTTAGCTATGGGACATGGGTGGGCGCCGGATGCCACGACCTACCACCGGAAACGCGATCAGACGCCCGCCCTTGCCTCGCGGTTTCCGGAAACTAGTACCTCGGAGGTACTAGTTTTTTACCCCGCATCTCCAGCAGGAAGCCTCAGGTGAGCCACGGGAGCTCTACGCTTCCCAGATGTTGCGGTGTGATCGTGCCCAGAAAATCCACCTATCTTCTGTCTCTGTAGTATGGCTAATGCTCGGTGTGACTGCAGCCACTGATGAGGTTATTGGGAGTTTTCTAATTGTGGCCTAATCCCATAATAAAAGTGTACTGGTAATTTAAGAAGAGCACAGCAGAATCAGACTAGTGGTCCATTGAGTCCAGCATCCTGTTTGCAGAGAACTGAGGCCCATTCCTCAGCTGTGTAGTATTTTAAAGATCTCCTACATGGTTGGGTCAGTATACATTCCAATCCCAAAGAAGGGCAATGCCAAGGAATGTTCAAACTATCGCACAATTGCACTCATATCACACGCTAGCAAGGTCATGCTCAAGATCCTACAAGCTAGGCTTCAACAGGACGTGGATAGAGAACTGCCAGAAGTACAAGCTGGGTTTCGAAGAGGTAGAGGAACTAGAGATCAAATTGCCAACATTCGCTGGATTATGGAGAAAGCAAGAGAGTACCAGAAAAACATCTACTTCTGCTTCATTGACTATGCTAAAGCCTTTGACTGTGTGGATCACAACAAACTATGGCAGGTCCTTAAAGAGATGGGAGTACCAGACCACCTCACATGTCTCTTGAGAAACCTGTATAAGGGCCAAGAAGCGACAGTTAGAACCGGATACGGAACAACTGATTGGTTCAGCATAGGAAAAGGAGTACAACAAGGATGTATATTGTCACCTTGCTTATTTAATATATATGCAGAGTACATCATGCGAAATGCTGGCCTGGATGAATCACAAGCGGGAATTAAGATTGCTGGGGAAAAGATCAACAACCTCAGATATGCAGACGATACCACTCTAATGGCAGAAAGTGAAGAGGACCTAAAGAGCCTCCTGCTCAGAGTAAAAGAGGAGAGCGCAAAAGTGGGCTTGAAGCTCATCAGATCACCGCAGACTGTGACAGCAGCCATGAAATTAAAAGACGCCTGCTCCTTGGGAGGAAAGTGATGGCAAACCTCAACAGCATGATAAAAAGTAGACACATCACCCTGCCAACAAAAGTCCGAATGGTCAAAGCAATGGTATTCCCAGTAGTCATGTATGGCTGCGGGCTGAGCGCCGAAGAATAGATTCTTTTGAACTATGGTGCTGGAGAAGACTCTTGAGAGTCCCTTGGACTGCAAGAAGATCAAATCAGTCAATCCTAAAAGAAATCAACCCTGACTGTTCCCTGGAAGGCCAGATAATGAAACTGAAGCTCAAATACTTTGACCACCAAATGAGAAGGGAGCACTCACTGGAGAAGACCCTGATGCTGGGAAAGACTGAAGGTCAAAGAAGACGGGGACAGCAAAGGATGAGATGGTTAGACAGTGTCATACATGCAACGAACATGAAATTGAGCAAACTTCAGAGGACGGCGGAAGACAGGAGGGCCTGGCGTGATCTTGTCCATGGGGGCACGAAGAGTTGGACTCGACTGTGCGACTGAACAACAACAACAACATGGTTGCAGCTATCCTTCCTGATTGCAGCAGTGCCATGTCACTGTCAGCCTGGCTATATTTACTTCTGGCTGGACCAATTAATCTTTGGAGGTGCTGCCCAAATCCCCTTCCGCACATATATATTTTTTTAAATACATCCAGGATTAAGAGTGTCAAACAAAACAGAAAATCCTTCACAGCCTTCACTTTCAAGTTGTCCTAAAACAAAATTTGAAATGCATTGAGCAGAGCTTTAGC